ATTTGCATTTGTGGCTTGATCCCTCTTTGCTGTGGGGGCTGCCCTTTGTACTATGGGATGTTTTGTAGCATCCCTGGCTTCTGACCACTAGATTCCAGTAACATCCACCCTGCCACGCCATCCCAAGACATAACAACCAAAAATTTATCTAGATATTGCCAAATGTCCCCTAAGGTTAGAGGTGGGGAATGCATACTTGGCTGAAAACCACTGCTCCAGACTTACGACTAGGCTGGTTCAAAGAACCAGGAATAGAAAGAAACAAATAGACAAAAGGACAGCAAAGAAGCATGAGTTCAATGATTTAGAAAGCTCCTAAGAGAAAATCCTATCAGAATTTTTTAACTATGAAATAATCTATTACACTTCTGAGGAAAGAAAAATCTTTCATACAACAAAGCATCTTTTTTTTTTTTACTTATCTACACGTACATAATATGTAAATTAGTCTTCTGCTGTAGTAGGCTTTATCATTCCTAAGGAATACATGCTATTCTGAATAATTTTTTTTTTTTCAATTTCTCTCCCGTAGAAGCCTGGACAGTAAACATAATTGTGGGAAAAAAGCTCAAAAATCTACAGGCCTCAAATATCTAGCTCCCCTGTCGAACACTACTCAACTATCCAGGTTCTATATGTTTAATTTGTAAACACCTGCATTAGGGACATTGGCTAACCTGGCGTCTATATAAAGAATGTAGGACCGAACTGATCCTTTTTATTGACAGCTGTAAATATATTTGCATAAAGCAGTGACTCATGTGGTTCAGTCTTAGAGAGGTGTCAGGATCACCAAAGGGTAATTTCAAAATAACTCTTTTCCTTGTGTATTTCAAAAAAAAAAACAAAACCAATCTTTCTAAATATCCTTTTCCCCCCATTTCAGTTTTTCCACTCCTCCCCCAAGTTAGTTTTGTAGAGTCCAAAGGCAGGGTCCCAATCTTCGGAGAGGAGAGGAAGGGAAGAGACTAAGCTAGAAGAGACTAACTTTTCTCTTAAGCGAGCTGGTGAAAAGAAAGGGCTGGATGTGTTCTTGTTTCCAGTGCCCCTACATTTAAGATATGACTGCTCTTGCCAATGATTCTGATTCCAAACCGTTACTCCGTGAAAACTTTCAGAGCACACTTTGAAAAAGTCTCTTTTCTTCTTTAGTAATGTGTAAAGTAGTGCCCTCAGAGAATTTCCAATTAGGACTGGCGTTTCTTGTGATTTTTGAACTATTTTAGTACTTTTTAGACAAAACAGTGAAGACTCATACATATTCCCTAGAAACCAGGTAGGGAAAAAAATGAGCAAACTAGGAAAAAAATAACCTCTATTCCCTCCACAACATCATATCTTTGAACGCTTTAAACACCGCACTGACTCCTCAGAGTGTTTATTTTCTTCAGAATGTTAGGCCAATTTGAGATTGGAAAATTTAGGACTGGTTGAAATCATTGCCCTCCTTTTCAATTTTTCTACTTGCTTAAACTTCCTTTGAGAAAAATTTCTTAAATTTTCAAAGATCACTTTAAAAGTTCTATGGAAAAGAACAGCTGTTAACTTCAGATTTTATTAAGCCCCTTATAAGTTTTACAGGTATATATTTGAATAGAAAAAAAAAAAAAAGTGTCCCAGACACTAAAAAAGTGAGGATTGCTTGAATTGGCAAAACTATATAGGCAAAAATATTATAATGAGAATTAGTTTTAATGAATTAAAAAATAGGTAGTATTTCTTGTAGCAGAATATTTATTTCTGTGATTTTAAGTGACTTAGCTACCTTGTTTCCTCTAATTCTACTTACTTCAAAGTTCTCTTTTAATTAAAATGTGTGGTTGTATATGTTAAACTTATTTAGACAGAAACTTCTAAATCTTTTAAAAAACATTTATTTATTATAAGGTTTCTACCTTGTTTTAGCCTTCCTAGTCTTGGAATTCAGTTTTATTTTTTAAAAACTTACACCCAATAACTCTTCTTATGAAAACAAAACATTGGCTTCTGTATCAACATTTCACTAACAGATGTTAAGAACAGTCTCTGTTGGCTGCTTTCTTGAACTGATTTTTATTTTTTCTTCACTTTTCCAGAATAAGTTAAATAGAAAAACAAACAAAATTGTCATGTAGGTCTGCTGGTTGAGGTCAACAATTGTTTGAAAGTGAGCTACAAAACATC